TAATGTTAAGTTAATGTATTCTGCCACCAAGTTCTCACACTTAATTGCAGAATTATTAATAAATCTAATAACGTATGTATTAAATATTGTAGCATACATGTTTATCCAATGTGACCTCCAGTAGGGGCGAATATAGAGGAAAATTTTGGGAGGGGAAATTCAAAAAGTTTTGGTCGAACGTGTCATATTGAAGATTTTGTAAAATGTGTCAGACTACACTCAGCTCATGCTGTGATAAGATTTTATTCCTTTTAATGATTGACTGAAAATATTTTGAGTCAAAGTTTAGTGACAAGTTAAAATTAATAGTTACTGAATAATTTTAGGGGGAAATATTCCTCATGTCCTTCCCCGTGGATCCGCGCCTGCCTCCAGTAGAATGATATCGTGTTTAATGTGCGTTGCTGCAACATGTCAGTGTGACGTAATAAAGAATTAAAATAAAAAATTCTTCTGACAGTGATGCTCCGGGCAAGCTCATAAATCGCATTTAATAAGAATATAAAAATATTCAACAAATAAGTTCTGAGGATATATGGCTTAATTAATATTATATGTTATTATTTATTATTATTAATTTTATTTTACGTCAAAAACTGTGTCTGACATGAAGCAGCGTAATGAAATGAGTGTGGGTCCGCCCGCAAACGTTTTTCCGGGTTCCCTTTATTATAGTGTATAGTGAACATTTGTATCATAAATAAGAAAAATATCCCTTAAAAATAGTCCCTCTTTTACATGTGCCCAGCCGCATTGCGGGCTCGATCGTTTCGCCACTGGTGACGTGCTACGGAGAGAAGTGAGTTCTGTATACGTTTTCATAATTCTGTGATGCCTACCCTAAGCCATATACTAGTTGAATTTCGAATGTAGAAAGATATGAGCGTTTTTTGCAAGGATTGTTATTACTCACGCAACTTTTCTTGAACGATGGAGTGAAGAAATGCTGGTAGAGTGGGGGTATTAGTTACGAAATTGGCCACTAGATTTTATGAAGCAATGCCAATCTCTGGATAAAGAGTCATGCCTTCGCAACGTTCTCCATAATTTGCGTTCTACCTTTCTCAGGTGTTCGAGGTATCTCCTGTAATAGATCTTCACTTGCTTTGGTAATTTCTTTAGATTTTTGGAGAAAATAACGGATAGAAGTTCTCGTCTTCAAAAGAAAATTGTTTCTATTTCGCACTAATGAAGATATGTTTGGAATGTTGTCATCAGTGCTCACTGCGAGCTTTTGTCTTCATCTGTTTATTATGCCAAAGAGGAGAAAGCAAGGTCATCGTTCAAGAAAAGTTGCGCGAGTAATAACAAAATATTCGCTCCGATGTAATAAAATCTGTTTTCAAGGATCAATCAGCTATAAATTTGGGCTCTTGTCCCTCATCATGTCCTTCGTGAAGGAATAATACTTCCTGCAGCGATGGACAACGATAATTTGAATAACTATATTTCCCACTTAATTCTGGAAGATCAGCACATAATGAAGTTACATTTATGTCCAGAAGCAAAAAAAGGGGCCACCTCAGCATTTGATCAAAGGATAAGGGAAACTGGACAAAAAACCTGATGGAGATGGCGGTCATTGACCCAGAAGCTGCGGTTCAATACTTGTTACAGGTTGTTAATATTATACAGTCAAATGGAAAGTAATACATTAAATAGCATTGTTAAAATTAATGTTTCTTTTGATGCTCGGTATAGTCTCTACCTATATAGAAACAGTTATGCAGCAGAAAATATTTTACTTGGCACTTAAACTTCTTTATCGAATTTAATTGTTTAATGATCTCTGGCAAAGTGTTGTAAAAAACGTACATGTATTCTATGAGAATTTTATGTAGTGAGCGGTTGATGCCTATTTTATGTTTAAACGCATACATTTTGCCTATTCTTGTATGCACTGATCAAAAAACAATTACCATTAATATTTTTAATTGTACTTTTTTTCTTTTTTATCCAGCAGAGTGAAAAGAAATCGAACAACTATTAATAAATATATTTCGTTTTACTATTACCACAATGTGGATATTTCGTATTATGAATCACGTACAAAATCGCTTGTGTAGTAAAATTATTTTTACTTCAAAATTTTAAATATTTCTTATTTAAAAAATCTGATATTTCAAATATGATATATTTGTAACAAAAACTTGTAACTTATGTTATAACTGTTGGCTGAGAACGACCTGTAAATTCTTCCAAATTTAAGGCATTCAAAGCTATGTCCACCAGATCCTGTAGTTTATCTTGTGGATTATC